GTGAGTTCAAGCCTGGGCTACACAAAACCTTGTCTGAACACACAAACTAAATAATAAAATATAAGCAGCTATAACATTAGGATGACTATAAGACAGCTTCTGTCTGTTAAAAACTCATAGGTATCTTTCATTGTGCTGTCTGGTCCTAAATGGGTGGATGGATACTGAGGGTGATTGAGAAGTCTAGAGAGGACATCTGACATCTCCACTCTTTACAGAGAGGCGGGGGAGGGAGGAGGGAGCTAGCGTGCCGCTGGAGCCAGATCAGCGGCCTCTTCTCACAGCTCTGGAAAACTCAGTGGGAAACCACTGTCCAGACGAAGGCTGACCCCGCCGCCTGCCGGTAGCAGGAGGAACAGCAGGAGCCTGAGGGCTTCATCTCGGCCCATTGGGAACTTCTGAGCTAAGCAGGGTCTCAGGTTCCGCCACGCGGCACACTCAGTCCTTGGCTTACGTTTTTTGCTGTTGTTAATCAACCCACTTATTGCAGGCTGGGGATGTCTCAGGTGGTCGCATTTCTCCTGGTCCTTCAATTCCTTCAGTCGTCTGGAGGCTGACTTGATGTGACTGCAGAAGTGGTGATGTAGGTCCCGGTCCCCACCAGCCACCATTTCCACGCAGACCCTCGGAAACAGGCCGTCTGTCTTCTCTTACCAGAGGAGAGGCACCTGTGTACTTGGCTTGCTGGCCAATTTCGGTTTTCTTCAACATTTTCCAGAAGGAGGCACCACGACTGGCCCTATAATTTTCTGCAGTCCTTCTTGGTGTATTTCACCATGTCACTGGGACACAAGAGAAAATCTGTGACATTTCTTTATCTGAGTCTGGCTTATTCTGGATAACAGGATGATCTCCAATCTGTTCCATTTGCTCTCCAATTCCATTGCGTCACCTGCAAAGGAGATGATTTTGTTCTTTATGGCTGAATAAAAGTTCATGGTGAGGGCTGGTGAGATGGCTCCGCAGGTGAAGGAGCCGTTTTCATTCATTAACAGACGCTTGGGCAGTGGATGGGAGAGAGGAGGGATTCTGGGGGCGGGGGGACATCGAGATCAAGATGGGACCGGTGGAGACCATGACTGGTGGCTGAGGAGCCCCCATGGGACTGCACTAGGCCCTCTGGATAAGGGAGACAGTTGTTTAGTCCGAACTGTTTGGGGGGGCACCCAGGCCGGGGATCGGGAACCATACCTGGTGCATGGGCAGGCTTTTGGGAGTCCGGTGCCTTCCGGGTGGCTGGGAGGGGCTTGGACCTGCCTGGGCTCGGTGTGCCGGGCTGGTGTGCCGGCTCTGCTGACTCCCCATGGGAGACCTTGATTTGGAGGATGTGGGGATGCAGGGTGGGAGGAGGGAGGAGGTGGGATCAGTGGGTGGTATGTAGGGTGAGTAGAAAATGCCCTTCCTTCCTTTCTTTCTTTCTTTCTCTCTCTCTCTCTCTCTCTCTCTCTCTCTCTCTCTCTCTCTCTCTCTTTCCTTCCTTCCTTCCTTCCTTCCTT